ATTCCATACAGTAGATGAGAATAAAAACTTCATCTGATATTATAATCAACAAAGAAAATTTTGTAATCACATGAATCAACGTATCGCAAAATGTGAAATGATAATTGCATGTATGAAACAATTGTACAAAAATTAGTACGTGATCGGATGGTTTGAAACTTTAAACTAGACCATAAATTGCTCTAATAAATATTTGTTGCAACGATAAGAGAGAATACAACTGCATGCAAGTCAGCCGTTTAATCACAAAAAGGAGAAGAAAATTGCAAACGTGTAAGAGGAATTCGAAAACATATTTTAACGTTCAAAATTTTTGAAGCGTATGTTTATTTGTCTACTTGTTTATTTGTTTATTTTGACTATGTTTACACGTTTTATTTTACCGTCAAAGAAAATCCAGACAGCACGATAGCTCAGTGAAATTAATTTTTCGTATTGTTTTGATGAAACGTGAAATTCCGGTTTCCCGTACGATAAAATCAAACAAATTTTCATTGAAATTGGACGTCACCAACACGCTACGTTTCGCGAAAAACGCCTGACAATTAAATTGTTCAGTACATTCCAAAGCCCGGGTCAGTCCCATCGCTATACGTTGGCAAGGTAAGGCCAGGCGCACGCCCATCCGCTCGACCAATCAGGGGCCGCGACGTCATCTCGTACGATGTAACGGAGAGACTCACCCACGTGGTAAGCATCGCGCTATTTTAGTATCTCGCCACGAGAAAATCTGCCGACAGCATGCATCTCGTCGCGAACGACTATTTTAGAATTTTGCGACGATCAATTGCCCCTTGATTAAGAGCAATTAATTCTATATAAACGGTTTACCCTTTTCCGATATTTATCTTTCTCTTCCCTTCTCCGAATCTCGTCGTCACAAGCTTGTTTCGCAAATCCAATGATGCTAATAAACGAGTGCATCGTGATGGCGCGCGGCAACATATGGCATGGAACCGATTACGATTCGCAGCGATCTCATCTAGTGCGCCGCTTGATTGGCCAATTAAACGGTAGATTTGAAACATTCGTAACTCTGCTCGCGTTCGTTTTTTTTCTTCGAATTTTCGCATCGATATTATCGGGAGACGGAATAACGGTTAGAAGACGCATAGCGATATACCGTAACCGTTGACGTAAGTACATTATAATCGTTCGATGTCGAAACTCCTAAACTGGATTGTTCACGTAATTAATAAAGTCGGTCGCGAGATACGCGCGTATCACTGAATGAAAACAAGGACAAACAGATGGTGTGTTCATGTGTGTACGAATGTGTAGGTCAGTTAGGCATTAATCAACGAGACGCCGCGGTAAATAAACAGACTCACTTGAGGAAACGCGTTACGTACGTCGCTCGGCTAAACGGCCTTTGAAAAATCTCAATTGCAAAACACATTCGGAGTGGACCGAAAACCCGCTAAAGATAGAACGCTGGTACCAATGCATCGCGGATCACCACTTTGGTCGGTCCATTGGAAAACCGGTAGCTGCCGAACCTTTTCGAATTGCACGTAATTTAATCATTTCCTCGCATTTTATCTGTCACACTCTGTTTCATTCATTGTACACGACCTTTTACTCGCACTGGCCAAATCGCGAGTTCGAGAATAGAATATAAAGAAACAAAATTACTCACGAGAATAGAATGCTGTCACGAGCAGAGCAAGCCAAGACAGTTGTCTCTCCACGAGATTTCTCATCTCTGGGTACCGTCGGCGTCTTTCACAAGGTCCTCTCGAAACGCAGCGGCAAACGCGAAAAGAAAAGTTCATGCACTGGAAATCGGTTGTCGTTCGGAATGCGAACGTTCGTCGTTCGGCGATCGCAACCAACCGTTCTCCTCGAAGGGAACGTAGAAAGCAACGAGAGAGAAGGCGTCACACGCACGCTTTTCTGTGCGCTCCTGGAGTTTCGAACTGACGACCAGTCAACGTACTCGCATAACACGTGAACCGTACGACGCGACCGGCTGTGCACGACTGACTCATGGGAATGCGTTTTGGCGGCACGAAGCTTTAAAGGTGTGCGCGGACTGCGCACGCGTCGATCGCATCACGCCACCGAACCCGTTTGGTGGGGGCGCCATAGTTCTTTCTCTTTCTGCCTTTTCACCTGTACATCCCCGGAATTTTCTCTCTGTTACGCCGCTGCTTTACACTTTACAGAACCACGCTGGCGCCGCTGTCATTACGTCTTTCGCTCAGGCAATGTGTAAGATCATTAACTGAAAGTCTTCGCGAAACAACAGCAGCAGCCGTGATCTCTTGTTCCTTTCCGAACAGATTTTAATTAAGAGGGGGTTTTCGTTGTCAGCGAACAATACTGGCAGATAATTAGCGGATTTTACTGGAATCCAAACACGGCTGATTATCGTACCATGCAACAAGAATTTAACCCCTCGCCCCGATCCTCGGTCTCCACACTGCTACCTCGGTCAACTAGGCGGGAGTCAAAACGTTCTGATCCGATTAACGAGTAACGCCTAACCAACGACAAATAGAATTTATTATTAGCTCATTGTCGTTGTTGGTATTAGTTTTTGCTATATTTCTTGAAGGTATACAGAGAAAAATAAAAAAAACGAAAAATTAAAAAATTCGGTCTAAATCATGGAGATATACATATATGCATGCTGAAAATGTTCATTACATAGGAGATCATTTTCCTTGCTATATTATTACTCGTTGAGGAAAATACTTTGGATAAAAGTTAACTTTAGAACTATTGCATGGGTCAAAATGACCATTTTTTGTGATTTTTTCTCTTACAACTATAAAAATTATAAAAATGCGTATCTTATAATAGAAATCGTACAAAGTTCAAGTAAATTCTAGTTCTATTAGTTCATTCATGGCCGGGTGCGTTAAGATTATATGAAGGTCAACTTTGTCGTTCTTAATAGCATAATGTATTTTGTCGAAAAAGTGTGACCTACTTGTGTTAAAAATGAATATCAGTCATTCTCTCATCTTGTCTCAATTATTTATCCATGACGTAAGCGGTTGATTCTGTAATGTAAGGAAATGTAACATTTACGGAACAGTAGTTTTATTGGACAATCTACTGCTATTAATTTCTACTTTATTTCTCTTCCTTCAATTCCTGGAGGAACGATAAGGATTCAACGAAAAGCGTATTATGGATATCTGTAAATAAATTACATTTGTTTTACATTGTTTAATTTCATCATAAGCTAGTTTATTATCACATATTTGGTGTTATTACTATCATTAATATTATTACCTTGTGTAAACCGCTATTTTCATGTAAATCGCATTCAACGGAATTAATTAAATATGCAGTATTCCAAGCGATTTATCAGAATAATAATTCTCTGTTTCTCTTTGCTTTGTTTAAATTAAATTTGTTAGTATGAAAAATTCAAGTAGATTTACCAGTCCTTTTCTAAGTCAGGACTTTCTTGCTTTTTTCAAATCACGTTGTTAGTATTTCAAAGTATCGCGTCACTAATTTTTAAAACAAGTTATTTTTATTATTTTTTTAACATACGTATAATTAGGCAACTCACTCCCACGCAACACACTTACAGTCTTTAAACATTTATCGTATTGATGTCTTAACACTTTATCCACATATATTGTATAAATGATGCCGTTTGTAATAAATTAAGGTTACAACCTTATCAATAAGATGTAAACATATACATTTATACATATACATTTATTTGATGCAACGCATTCAATTATCTCCTAAGTTCTAAACTATAGTTCGTTTCAAAAAATGTGTTAAATGAGAAGGACATCCTATAATCGCCACAAAGATTTCCTAGGTGGACGTGATTCCGAGATTTCAAGGTGACCTTGGTATTTTTAACGAAACTACATTTTTTTATGTATACGAAGTCATCAAGGTCAATTTACTGACCTATAACACTTTGGCCTTTGAAGTTCGTCCAAGGTCATCTAATGTTGTTTAAATCTTCGTTAAACGTCCATCTACGCAAATCTGAGCTCGGATAAGTCCAGAGAGTGAAATATTAATCACTAACCAATTAGCTATAAGCTGTATGAGCTAGAACCATTAGTAGACTATTGATACCCTATTAGAGGGGTATCAGTCATATATGCACACACACAACACAGATATACATGTTCTGTGATGTAGCCCCTATTCCGCGAATCCCTGAACGCGAACAAGAATCGACTCCAAGCTTCTGAGATTCGTAGGCCAAGCCACGCACGGCATTTCACCCGGCAGTTCAATCGGCACAAAGCGCGACTTCCGGGAAATCCGATGTGAAGCACGATATCAAGCTCGGGCGAGAAACGAGTCCACGTGAGATAGATCGACGCGTCAAAGATCCAAGGGTACGAACACGAGAATAGCGGAGGGTAACCAATACGGCTGGGCGGATCTCGCGGGCGCAATTACGACACGAGAATTAGCTTTGAGTTAATCTTTAATCGGGTCTAATGATACAAATCGAGTAGCCATGTGGCTGTACCCGAGAATCCGCGGTCTTTACAATTTTCCTGCGGAAGGTGTTCGTTCGCGGCGCACTGTTGTCGTAATTCCCTTTTCGCGACGGTACGGTAATTCGGTATCATAGATTTCGTCGCGAAACTGCAATGTCACAATACATATTATAAAGGGTATAAAAAGATCAAGTTCTTTTTTTATGTCAATGCTCACAAACTCGGTTTGTACAAAAAGTTTAAGAATAGAAGTACTCAACTCAACTACAGAATCACGTTTTTAACTTTTTAACTGTTGTAACTTAGCGCAGAAAAATCAAAAGATAGTCTGCCTGAACTCAATTTAACCCGATACCAGTGTGGTATATAAATGTGATGTGACGAGTGCTGTTAGATATTACATACTCCAGTCAATTTCTTTAACACAATGTTTAAAAAAATAATTTTAATAAGGATATTTTTATCACATTTGTCAATAATGTTATAAAAAATACAAGGTTATGTATTATGTATTATTATTATTATTATTATTATTATTCTCTCCCAAAAAAAATTATTATTATTATTATTATTATTATTGTAATTATTGTAATTTGTTCAAAACAGGTTGATCATTTAAAAATTGGTGGGGTATGACATGCCTCATCACACCAACGGGCAACGCCAGATTAAAGAGCGAAGTCTCTACTTTTACATCCCCGAATTAAACTTTTGTTAAATAAAGTTGAAAACGAGGTCGAAAAACTGTGCGTAACTTTACTCAAAAAGATGTTATTTTATTCCACGGAATTTGGTATCCGCAGTTTGTGTTAAAATAACTTTGTAAAGGAGGAGCCACCTTTTATAATGACTCCTGAAAAATTGACGTTCAATTTTTTAGCGCAGTATTATCGCGTTTTGAATGGACAGTGCAGCGCATAGTTTGCAGAATTTTTAGGAACCAAAACCATTTGTAGTTTTCTGGAGCATTCATTTCATGTGAATTGGCACTCGTAAGAATTTTATTGAGAAATGTGATAGTAGAATTGCAGTTGATAACAAATCTCTTAGAATTGTTAGTATAAAAATAATGAATAAATACATGAAAATAAAATATCAAATCATGACTCTATCACGTACTTCCACTTTCATGTGTATTCTTTTAAGACAGACTATACAATACCATTAGCTGATACAATTATTTCGGTTAGAAAGGCATACTGAGTTTGAAGATATATAATTGCATTTGTGAAACAAGATTCAGAGGTGACACCTCTTTTGATATTATGACGGTAATGAAATTGACCCCATGTATTCCGTTTGCGCTTTCACATCTTTTCTGCGGATCATGTGGTAAAGTAAACTTTTTTGTAAAATATATTCATCTCTTTACGTATAATGCTACTTAAAATTAGATTGCATTTTATCAAAATATCCGTAATAATAACTAGACTTCGAATCTTTTTATACAATATAAAAATTGTCTAAGTTCATTGAATAAAACATAGATGAAAATGGCTTTCCTCTTGCAATAATTATTGTAATAAGCTAAAAATAATATAACAATATCCATAAATTCTTAATAACTCTTCATAATAACTCTTGTTATATTATGAAAATGTTGCAAGCATAGCAATATTTCATGTCAAATTTTCCAACGAACGTTTCATCGAACTTCCCGTAATTATAACTCTTTTTGCAATTTAAATAATTGCAAAGAAAAGTTTCAAATCTAACTAATTGTAATATCAAATCACCTGAATAGCTTAAGTGCATAAGAGTACCTTTTTATGATTATTGATAGCGAATAATCAACAGAGTTCGCATATCTTTATATGTATGTATGTACCAGGTGTGAAATTATGAAGTGTTAATGTAGACAGTGCATTTAATTTTTTGCTGATCTCACTTCGCCGGTGCGTTTGTGATCCTACAAAATTTCAACGGTCTGTGTTTTTCTAGTACGTTGAATTTGCATTATGCAAACGTCCAATTTGATTACATCAAGCTGGTGACCGAAGCGAAGCTCCGTTACGAGTCCTGTCTACGGGGAACGGAATAATTTTCAGGAAATAATTCGGGCAATCGTAACTTATCCGACGAATTAAATTCTGCTTTTAAATACTACTGTGCGACACGACCCACGTTGCAAAACCAACAACACAGAGTCACAGAGTGCACAGAGTCACAGTTGCGAGAACAGATTTTTCTTGACGAGAAGTTTATCAGCATGTTTGCATAATCAACATTTTATTCTCCAAAAGATTATTAATAGGTTTCTTAACGACTCAGCTGTATTTAAAAGAAACTCGATGACTTTTTTTATATAACAATTTTAGGAGATATAATTACATAACATTAATATCATAAATTGTTTTCACTTTTAAACAATTTGTTCACAGGATTTTTTAACAGTGTCATTAGAAAACGTTTGATACATAAAACGTTAATTAATATAGCATGTTGTATGCAAGCCTGGATAATTTATTATAAATCTTTCCTATTACATGTATAAAATAAATTTCTAGAGAAACATAAAGAAAATTCAATTCATTTTCATGAATTTTCCATGAAGT